GGGGGATGGAGAGTAGACTGCTGGTTAGCAGAGGACAGGAACGGTGGGGGAGAGTGAGGGGTGGAGAGAGTTCCTTGCTGGTTACCAAAGTATGGTTTGACAAGACAAAGAAGACCTGGTTTTGATAGATCAGTAGAGTGACTAATTCAAATGTTTCTAGCATAAAAGGAAGACAAATATTTAAGGTTATGGATATTCCAATTACACTGACTTGATCTTTACAATGAATCTTGATAAGAATGTATTAAATTATTACATGTAACCTCCAAATACGTACATCTATTATGTACCTATTAAAAAAAAAAGAATTTGGTCAAAGAGGAAATTGAAAGGGAACTTCCAAATCCCCTTGGAAGCAATGAAAAGGAATGTACTCTCTAATAAAATTCATGGGACACAGTGAAAGTTATATTTAGAAGGAAAAAGGTAATCGAGCATTCGTCTTGAGAAATGAGTGAAGGCACTGTGAAGCACCAGAATGGATCTGAGATTTTACCCTACTCACAAACAAATGCAGTCAGCCATAGTTTCACGGATGCTGGAAGAAGACATGCGACTCCCGGGTCAGAAACGCCCTGGCTGGGCAGGCAGCGTGGGCGCCAGGTTCATCCCGGGCTCCTTGCTTCCAAGTCCCAGGAGGCCACGCAGAGGTGGCCCAGGGGGAGGCTTCAGGCATGGTGAGCTTGTGTCACAGCTAAGGGACTCCAGACTTAAGCAACTCTAGTCTTTAAAGGCACTGCAAGCAAACCTGCTGAAACTCTCCCAGAGAGAGCTATTTTTTAAATCTACTGGTTGGCAAGCAAATTTGTCCTCTGCCAAAAGGGGAACAGTATCTCTACTTTCCAAGGCCGTGTGCTTTAAAAGACTTTTGAAAAGGTAGTCTGTGACAAAAGCTGTCATTACCTCTGCTGCTCAGATACTCAGAAGTGGGAGAGACTTGGGGAGAAAGTTCTCCCAAGAAGTCCAAAAACAGAAATTAGGAAGAGGGAAGTAAGAAATTGAAATGCATCAGCTGTGTTTTTCAAAGTCTGTGAATTCATAACGACACTTTAGAAAAATCATTGGCCTCCTCTGAAGGATGCTGGAGCACCAACTCGTGATGCTGAAAAGTGGTAAACAATGGAAAATGAGTGAGAATTTATCTTGCCTTTCCAGTAGGAACTATATTTCAGAGTACCCACATAGTTGATAAAGAACAGTACCTTTTGCAGAATTCTAGCTGAAATATAACTGAAGGACTAGCAAGATATGGCAATTCCAAATGAAAGACTGAATCTGGTAGGAATTATGAATGCCTGCTGAAACAAACAGATGACGGTGGGTGGAATATCTGGATAATAACACCAGAACCACCAACTGATCCTGGCGTCACGGACATCCCAAGACACCACGTGCCTCCTGAGTGACGTGATAGGAAGTTCCACTTCCCCTTCCTCTCATGTATTGTTTCTGGGGCAGGTTCCCCATTTCTCAAGGGGCACTATTGTGAATTGATATCCCTCAAAAGATATGTTGAAGTCCTAACTCTGAGTACCTGTGAATGCAACCTTATCTAGAAATAGGGTCCTCACAGATACAATCAAGTCAAGACGAGGTCATCCCAGATCAGAGTAGGCCCTCATCCAGTGACTAGCATGCTTATAAGAAGAGAGAAATTTGGACACTGACATAGAAAGGGAGAGAAGGCCATGTGAACAGAGGCAGAGATTAGGGCGATTCATACCCAGTCCAAGGAGGGAACCCCACAGATGGCTGGCTACCCACAGAAGCTGGGAGAGAAACCTGCAGCAGATTCTCCCTCTGTGGCCCAGAAAGAACCACTCCTGTCCATACCTTCGCTTCAGACCTCCAAACTTCAGAACTGGGAGAGAATATATTTCTTTTGGATTTGAGCTGCCCAGCTCGTGAGACTTTGTATGGCAGCTCCCAGGAATGCAAAGACCCCAGTGGGACTGCACCCCAGGTGCCTGTGGCAATAACCTGCCATGAAGGCTGCCTGTGTTCAGCTTCTCCCCGTCCCTGCCCTGTCTTCCCACTTTCTCCTTCGTGCTCTTCATGCTCACTTCCCAAACAGGCAGCCTGCACTGAACCCCTGGTTCAAGGTCTGCCTTTGGGGGCTGGAGGGGACAGACCAAGGCAGATGGTATCAGAGGGGACAGTGGAAAGAGGATCTCAAGGCATTTCTCTCCCTAGCCAGATGGCACGGCCACAGGCCGCTGTGTCAGTCAGCATTCTCCAGAGAAACAGAACCAATAGAATCTCTATTGACTAACGGATCATTCAGGAGAAAGGGAGAGAGAGGGAGGGGAATGAGATCTATAACAGGGAATTGGCTCATGTGACCATGGACGTGGGCACATTTGCTCTGCAGGGGCTCACAGGCTGACAACCCACAGAAAGTCCTCCCTTACTTGGGAAAGGCCAGTCCTGTTTCCTATTCAGGCCTTCGCTCATTTGATAAAGCTCACCACACTGGGGAGGACCATCTACTTTACCCAAATGTTCATTACATCCCAAACTCCCTCTCACAGGCACACCCAGAATAATGTTTAACCAAATGTCTGGGCACCCTGTAGCCTCGTCAAGTTGACACATAAAACTCACTTCACAGACGCCATTGCTGTTGCGCCATGAGTGGCAGTCTCCCAAGGCCATTCGGCACCATCACAGGGGCGGGGCCTCTCACCTGTGCGGAACTGGCGTGAGAAGCAGGGGCAGTGGAGGCACTGGCTTATGAAATAATGCTAATGCCTGCAGTTGAATTGCCCCCCGAAAGACAGGTTGGGCTCTGCTGAATCTGAAGTCACCGCCGGGGGCAGCCCTCAATCCGAGTCCATGGGTAAAGCCAGCCTTCCTGCCCTCTGGCCAGAAGGTTCTGAGACCTGCTCCATCCTGTTCCATTTGTTTCTCAGCACCCCCCCCACCCCCCGCAAGGGGAACAGAGCCCCAGTGTTCATTTTCACCCCTTGACTCCCTTATCCGCTTCACTCCCCTTCCTCACTGTCCTTCCTGGGGTCATGCCCTAGCAAGCTACTTGCACCCAATTTGTTGGCTCAGGATCTGTTTCCTGGGGAAACCCCATCAGGATAAGTGTCTTGCTGGCGTCATGCTTCATGATACACTACACTGGTAAATGCTTTCTGATCCTGCGTACTCCTCTGGCCGTGTGTGTCGGTAGACTAATTTTTGCTGCGTTGCATGTTTTAATTTTAGCATCTGACCATATTTATCCCAAATGAATAGGACCTTGTTTTATACAATAACACCCAGCAGATACAGTGAGCTGTGTAGAGCCACTTTGCAGTGCATTCTTCAATCTCGACGGGGTCCAATTGGATAAAAGCAGTTCTACAGGGAGTGATTACTACCCACTCTAGGTAAATGGTCATCTGCTTGTCCAGCTTAAGTTTGGAGTGGATTTTGCCTTATGGATCTTGGCATTTTTTATAGTGACCCCACACATGCTGCGTTAGCAGAGTTCAGCTGAGCTTTGGGTGGTAACTGGTTTTCAGTTGGGTTTGTGGGTGAATTCCCAACAGTGATGTGGAAGCGGGCTACGAGGCATTAGCAAGCAGCCACGCTGGGTGTGAAGCTGAATCCTCTCATGAAAAACAAGGGAAGTGAAGACACGGGCTTGCGTGGAAAGCTGTTCCACACTCTTGAGGCCAGTCCAGAGGGCAGCCACAGAAAGGGCTAAACTTCTCCTTGGACAACAGTCTTAACTGGAGCTGACCCAATAGCCCAAAAGTGATGGGCGCCAGATTGCAGTCTGTATGGCCTCTGTAATAGGAACTTGAAATAGTGTTAAGAAAAGTTTAACCAAAATGCCCATTTTGGATACTGAAACAACTCAATTAAGCACCTAAAAATATCTAGCTTTGAGCAATGTTACTTTCTAAAATCCCTTCCAAAAAACCCTTTTTTGAAATTAATATATACCCAACATAAAAGAATGCAACTAGTAACCATAAAGTGTTTAAAAGTCTGGGCTTCTCCCCACCAAAAAAAGACTAATTGTAATTTTCTCCTGTCTGACAATAAGTGAGTCTCTGCTTCACTGGTCTCCCAAGGCCAATCCCTAGAGCTGGCTTTCTGGAGGACCATTTAATTGAGTCTATTTGAATCTTACTCAAGTCTAGCAGCTTGTAAGTACCAGACCGAATTTAGCAGGATTCGGAATGGTAAGGACTGCATGCGAAATGACTTCTCTAATTCAGCAGTAAGGAGAGTGGACAGGAGTCTCGGTGGGCAACCATCCCAGGGTTGACGTCCTTCCTTCCGTGGAGACTCTGGGTACAAGTCTTGATGTAGCTGTGGATTGCTCTCCTGTTTCCTAGAAAGCTTACAGGGCAGCAGGAAGAAACGGGTTGGCTATGTCTTTACTGGTAGGAGCCGAGCGTCGGGTGTCATCTCTGTCATGTGTTCAGCATCTGATCGGTAAAATGGGGACCATGATGGGAGGTGAGGCAGTAGACAGCTCTTCATGAGGGTTCCTACTGGTTGCTGTTATCACTGAGCACATTGTCCTCGTAATCCAGAATTCATACTGCCATTTGAATATTTTGTGTATTTGCAAAGAAAATTTTAAACACTTAACTCAAGGCTAGAAATAAATACAGTTAGTGATTGCAAGAGAAATCCACCGGCAGAGGCAGAGGGAGACGACTTAAGCCTCTGATTATTTATGTGCTTTCTAGCCTCTGCCATTGAATGGATTAATGGATGTGCCTGGCATAGAGTAGGCGCTTTGCTTGTTCAACTGTCCGCGGGTCGCAGCGAGCAAACTGGGGAGAGCGCTCAGGGGCAGTGGGTGGAGTGAGCGGAGACGCGCGTCCTTTCAAGAAAAGGCTCCATTTCTTCCTCGTGTGGAAATGTGTGCGTGTCATCAGGTGCTCGAGGAAGCTCGTGCATGACCTGACAGTTGCCGTCTGGGCTCTCCAGGTTCGGCCTGGCCGCGTTCACAGCGCGGTCTCCAGCCCTGCTCTTCCGCGGCGCTGCGCCCCCGACTCGCAGCCCGGCGCCCGGCCCGGCCCTTCCTCCGCACAGCCCGGCTTCAGGCCGCCCAGTCTCCTTGACCTTCCCCCAGCAGAGTCTGAGGCGTCGCTGTCCGTTTTGAGCGGGGTCACGCAGGCCCCTTCCCGGCCTGGAAGGTCGGCGACGCGCGCTGAGCGTCAGTCCCCCCTCACCCCCGGCTCCAAACCCCGCCGGCCGCAGATGTCATCCTCATCCGTGCTCCGCAGCGACCGGAGGGAGCGAGGGGAAACAAACCAACGTCTCGTTTTCAGCCTCTCCCCGCCACCGTGACATAAAACCGGCAAAAATAAAAAGAGCATTCTGGGAAGCACTTCATCATTTCAACGCTCACGAATTCAAAACATAAACAAAGGGCTCCCAGGGCCCCTGCCCGGGGCGCGGGGCGCGCGGCGGGCCCGGGGCAGGTGAGCGCAGGTGCGCGCCCGCCCCCTCCCGGGGCCCCCGGCTCCTTCCCCGCGCCGCCCCGCGCCCCCCGCTCCGCTCCCCCTTCCCCGCCCGCTCCCCGCCGCCGCCGCCGCCGCCGCCGCCCCGCGCACGGCCTGGAGCGGAGGCTGCGCAGGGCGCGGGGCGGCGCGGGCCGGGCGCGGGCCGGGCGGACGGCCGCGTCTTTCTTCTCCTGGCGGTGATGTCATTGGGCGACGGCGGCCGAGGCCGGGGGGCGGCGGCGGGCGCCCGCAGGTTCCCGAGCCTCTCCTGAGAAGGCGCCTGACCGCGGGCCGGGGCGCACGGAGGAGCGGGCCGGGCCGGGCCGGAGCTGCTGGGCCGCGCCGAGCCGATCGCCGGCGCCGGCCGCTCCATGGGCGAGGAGGCGGCGGCGGCGGCGGGGGCGGTGGGGGCCGCGGGCCGGGCTGCCGCTCCGAGGTGAAGCAGGCGCGCGCCCCTCCCCGCCCGCGCGCCTCCCGGGCCGCCGCGATGAATTCTGCCGAGCAGACCGTTACGTGGCTCATCACCCTGGGGGTGCTGGAGTCGCCCAAAAAAACCATCGCGGACCCGGAGGGCTTTCTGCAGGCGTCGCTGAAGGATGGGGTGGTCCTCTGCAGGCTGCTGGAGCGCCTGCTGCCCGGGACCATCGAGAAAGTAAGTCCCGGCCCGCGCCCCCGCCCGCGCCCCCCGGCCGGGCCCGCTGCGGCCCGGGATGCGCGCGGAGCACCTGGGGCCGGCCGTGCTCGGGGGACCGCGCGCCCTCCTTTGTGCGCGGAGCGGCGGCGCGGCCGGCGCCAGGACCGTGGCGGGAGCTCGGGGGGCGCCATTGTGAGCGGGGCCAGGGAGGGGGCCGGGTAGGGGGCGGGGGAGGGGCGCGGGCGGCTGGGTCCCCGGGCAGGAGTGTTCCCCGCGGCGACGAGACCCGGCTTCCGCGCCGGCCGAACGCCGAGCGGCCCCTCGGCGCTGGGGTTCGGCTCCGCCGCCTCGCCGCGGCCCGATCGGAACCGCGTTCGGACGCCGTGCGGCTCTGTCCGCTGGCTTTGTGTGGACAGTTCTTGCCGGTGCGTTGCGTGAGTTTCGCCTCCCGGGTGAATGGACCGGTTGCGCTGCATTTTTAAAGATGCTCGCATCTGTGGCCGAGGGCTGTGCTGGGAAATGATGTACTACTTTCCCCTGGAGAAAATTACCCCCGATACCAGAGGACGGCAGACACAGGGTTTAAGCCCCGGCATTCTGCAAGGCTTGTTTAAAATTTCAGATTTCGTTCTCAGGTTCCTCCCTGGTTCTGAATAGAACCCAGAGCCCTGCAGGCACTGCCTCTCCCTCTCCGCTGGTAGTTCCCAGGCTGGAGCGTGTGAACCCTGACCCGAATCTCTGGAAGTGATTAAAGTTTGTTTTCATCGCCCACAAGCCGGCCAGCAGGGCCGAGGAGACAGGAGAGCTTCTAAAAACGAGGTCTCCCCGTATCTCAAAATACCAATCTTATTCCTAGGGTTTTTTTTTTTTTTTTTTTGGAGGAGGGGAGGGTGGTGGGTGGCCAATTTACAGCGTTCAGATCAACAATTATTTAAAATGTGTTAAATACAGAAACTGAAGGGTACCATAATTAGGAAGAACGACTTAAGTTTTTAAGTGGGGTGTATTGGCCCCCGTACAGGATGACAACTTGTGAATAAAAGGCAACCTAAGTGACTTGAAAAAGTAAAATGTTTAATCTTATACACGTGCGCATGTTCTGGTGCTACATTTTAAATGAGGTCAGAAAACATTTAATATGAATTTGGCTTGCATTCCAATTTTAGGTATTTTTCTTACTTGGCACATTTTTATGAAAACGGAATCTTCATATTAGAGTGAACGGCTGCCTGCCCGTCCATGAAATACAAACGTTCCTTTAAAATGAAACTGATGTCACAGTGACATGATGATTTAAGACAGGAGGACTAAGAAGTAGGATCCGACTTTCAAGGCATTCAAAATACTTTGTTGTTTGGAGACTGGTACCGCTGGTAATAAAAGACAGATGTCGAAAAGTGTTGAAATACATGCTAAATTCACCAAAATGGCTTAAATAAAATCCTGTTCCATCTCTAAGAGCAAAGCTTTGAGAAACTTCATATGCTGTGTTGATAAAAACATGTCGCCATCAAAGAATATGTCGTTTGGCATATTAACTGCATTAATAGTGATTGGCAGACTTCGATCATTTTCTTCTGAATTCTAGAAAGATTTTCCTAGAAAACTGTAGCATTCATTTTGTCTCTAAAACAACAAAGAGAGGAACGAATAGAATGTTGAGCTTGCAGAAGCCAAGTTAAAACAACTCAACATATTCTAAAACTGTAGTCATTTGGAAATGTCTTAGGTCAAATATGTTTTTCATTCCCCCTGAACTCCAGTTGTTTTGTTTTAAACTGACTCTGTCACAATGTAAGTTTAATGTAAAGCAGCATATTGTAGACACAATTACTGGTTCTCTGGAGTTCAAAGGTAGGTTTTTGGAGCAAAATAGCCGTTCTCTGTCTCTAAGATCCCTGCGTTTCAGTTTTGTGAGCTTTTTCCATTTCCTAGGGAGAGTTATCTGGGTTTTTTCTTTCCTTTCTTTCTTTTTTCTTTAAATAGAGATGGGGTCTCACTATGTTGGCCAGGCTGGTCTCGAACTCCTGGCCTCAAGCAACTGTGTCCCAACTTGGCCTCCCAAAATGCTGGGATTATAGCCATGAGCAATCATGCCCAGCCAGTTTTCTGGGTTTTTGATGTTTGCATGCTTACCAGATAATCTGTGCCACAAAGCACACATGCTGAATAATTTTTACTTAAATGTGGGAATGTGAATCTGAGGATGTTTTTCCTTAAAAAGATGCATTTGGAAACTTAACCAAATATTCATGTGGACATGATGGGGCTTCACTTGACCTCTGCCACAGGGGTGCGCTGACAGCCAGTGAGCAGAAGGCAAGTGGCCTGCAGCCTTCGCCTCTGCAAGCTTACAAGCTGGCATGAGCCACGAGGCTGGGGATGAGTGCCGAACTAAGAAATGGGGCTGGGCGCCTCAGCTTTCCCATATGGCTTTTATTAAGAAACCATGTCTTAATGTGTTTCTTCCATTACGCTCATTTATTCTGTTTCAGAGTCAGGAAGAGGATGGAGGGAGCAGAGAGGATGTTCATGGAGTGTCAGATTCTTCTGCTCATGTAAAGGAAACTTTCCACCCAGGTTCTCACCTTTCTTTCAAGGTGGAAGGTTAGACAGTGAGAAGATGGAATTATAAACTTTACATGAACAGTTCTGAAAAGAGACGCTTTTCATTATATTGGACAGATGTTTTCTGCTGTAGGGGAGAAGAGAATGGGACTAAAAAGTTTCCCTCATCTTTGTATCTGGAGACCCTGCGCTTTGGTGTTCCCCAGGGGGAGCCAGGATGTTTGGCTGGGCTGCCCACATCTCCGGCTTCCCGTACTCCTCCCTTGAGCAGAAGCACTCTGAGGTCGTGACGTCTAGGGAGCCCTGGTAGCACTCTTCTCACAAATTCACTTTAAACATCCCTGGGGTATTTAGTCAAAGGAGGCAAAATCAAGAAAGATGAATTTTAGAGGATGGAAAATTGCTATAAGACTAATACCACACATTAAAATCATGGAAATCATGAAATGCTCTTTTAATTTCACTTATGAATGCAACAGAAGAAGTCTCTTAATTCACTATGAAAAACTCAGGGAGCTTGGTTGTTTCTCTGTGTGTCCCAGGAGAACAGAACACAGAGAGCCTTCCTGTGTAATCCATGTGACACGCTCCCGGGAGATCCTGGCTAGGTGTTTGTGGAACGTAATTGAAAGTCAGGCGCTGCCTGTAGTCTTGGTGCTGGATGTGGGGACATCTGTCTCTCAGCTCTGGAGGCCCGAAGTCTGGGATCAAGGTGCTGGCAGGGCCTCATGCCCTCAGAAGGCGCCGCAGAAGGGTTTGTCCCACACCTCTCTCAAGCTTCTGGTAGTTCCTGGCTCATGGCAACACAAGCCCAATCTTCACATGACGTCCCCATTTCTTCTTTGTGTCCAGACTCCCCCTTTTTAGAAGGATATCAGTGGGATTGCATTAGGGGCACTCTACCCCAGTATGGCCTCATCTTAACCATTTACATCTGCCATGACTTCATTTCTCAATAAGGCCCCATCTGAAGTACTGGGGGTTAGGGTTTCAAAATATGAATGTTGGAGGAACACAGTTCAGCTCATGATGGGTTGTGTTAAACATTTGAACCAGATTTATCTGATTGCATGATGCCAGGTGCTATGGGAGATTACAAAATCTAAATAATAGAGTCTTAGGGGTTCTAGTACAGAAAACATAACTCTATAGACAAGAACAGGATGAGCAGAAGGAAGTTGAAAGCTGTCATGTCAGATACGGAATAGAAGGAGCAGAAGAATCAGGGAGCTAAAGAAGACCAGCATTTCAGCAGGTCAGACTGAAGACTTTCCTGACGTGTGCATAAGAATATGGTTGCATTTTCCCAAACTGTAACCTGGCAGCCCTAGGTGATTTTCCACAGGCTTGCAGAAAATCAGCAAATCTGATGTCGCATAGGAAAAAGAAAATACTTTTTTCCAAGTGAACTCGAGACTCACTTCTGGGGTTGGTTAGGGGCTGGGGTGGGGAGAAGCAGAAGTGCCCACCTGCTGGAAATGCGCCTTTTCTTAGGTCCTTTGGCCCTAAAAAGAATGTGGTCCGTGATCACAGTGTGGTGGTAGGGTGAGGTTCTCACTCAGGCCCGTGACCTGTAGCTGTTGTAAGGTCTTGTTGATTGGCTAAGTCACTTGTAGAGAAGAGTTATAATATGGTATTTCCAGACTGTGTTTTTAAGGAGACTTCTTTAAACCTTGCAAACTGAATGATTGGTTGTATCAAGTTGCTTCTAACTAAACTACTCTGAATATGGTTTCAGAATAGTGACTTTTGCAATAATAAACATTTACTTTTGAAGCATGTGACTTTATAGTCCTGTCTCAGCCCTGAACCAGTGTGATTCTTGTTTGGGTTTCAGGCCTGGGGAAGAAGGCAGCTGGAACTGCGTTTCCTGGCTCACTAAAGAGAAAGCAAACAAACAGAAACTCAATTTAAATCAGGAGCGCCTGAAGAGATTTCTTGAGAACCAGACTAGAAACTAGTGTTTATGTTGGTGTCACACAGACACAGGAGCGCACACACACATATGCATACACACACGCATATGTGCACACTTGCACATGCATGTGCACACAGACACATGCACACCTACACAGACGTGCACACACGTAAACACATGGGGGCACACATGCATGTAAATACACATTCGCACATGCACACACACGCACGCCTGCACAGACATGCACACATGTAAACACATGGGACACACATGCATGTAAATACACATGCACACAGGCACACACATGCACACATGTAAACACACAGGACACATGCATGTAAACATGCACACATGCACACACACACACACCTGCACAAACGTGCACACACAAACATGGGGCACACATGCATGTAAATACACATGCACACATGCACACACACACTTGCACAAACGTGCACACACAAACACGGGGCACACATGCATGTAAATACACATGCACACATGCACACACGCACACACAGTCGCGTCTGCC